CCTCTTTATCTCAGACCCCCTCCCGCTTCCTCCAATTCTCACTCCCAGGTCCCTTTCAACGAGAGAGAGGGAGAGAGGAGCAGTTAGTTGAGAACCTGAGACCCGAGGCGGAGATGGATCTGCTGGAGAGGAGCGCCACTATTAAGGCCGAGGCGGGGGAGGCCCAGCGGAAGGAAGCGGAGAGGAAGGAGCAGCAGCAGGAGCAGGAGACCCAGCAGCAAGGCCAAGGACTCACCGCCAGACCCCCGCTCGCCAACGGCAGGTAGCTAGCCTCCTCCGCCCCCTTCTCCCCGCTCTAGCAAGAAACCATGGCGGATTCCGTCCAGGATTCCGCGTCCGTCGGTGTGATTCTGCCGGATTGCTTGTGTCGTGTGCGCACGGGTGTTCCTCTTGTTCTTGGGTCGTGTTCCTCTCCCGCTTTCCCCTGTTCCCCTTCACGCGCTTTCGCAATTGGCACCTCGAGGCCCAGTGCTAATCACGGGGGAGCCCTTGCCGTGGGCTTCGTCTGTCCTCGGCTAGGTGGCGTCGGGAGTGCGTAGGCGTCGGTGCGGGTTCTGGAATGCGTGCTGCGTGTTCTTTCTCGCTGCTGCTGTTGGAGTGTTGTTCCTCTCTCCCTGCGGTCCAAATCCTCCCAAATTCAGTTTCCTCGACCTTTGCCCGCTGTTCTCAAGTTCTTAAGTCGGATTAATTAGGAGAATATATCTTGGGGGCGCGTGCTCTTATCCGGATGCTGGGATGACGTTCTGGCTGCTGGGAATCCGGCTTGCCCATTCCTTAACCTTCACGGTTGATTTAGTGGGGAAAAAGATGTTGTTTTGCTCATGGTGATAAACATTTCGGCAAATCTTTTCTTATCAAGTTAACTAAGTAAACTTTGCCCAAGATGGGCACAGATCCAGGCAGCCCTTTCTCCCTCACTGTCTGGTTTCTTGTTCTACAGTTTCTTCAAAGCGTTATGTAAAGTTTTTAGTTCAGCTGCTGAGTTAGGTTCACAGTGAAGAACTCTTTAGGCAACCTACACTCTTCTTTGTGATGCACACCTCGAGCTGCTCTCCTTTTTAAGAAACATTGGGAGAAGGCGTAGATCTGATTAAAGTTGGGTTCAGTAACAGATAACTTCCTTAAACATGCAAAGCCCTACCAAGGATTCAACTGCAAAAAAGAACAAACCGAAAAACTAACAAACTTTTCCACCTGTTTACTTCATGACCAATTGTGAAGCCGGGGACCAACGACATGGCCTCTGACCAGCTATTCACAACGTTGAGCTACTAGTCTTTTAGACATGTCCTGACATGTTAAGACACCTCATGCCTATCATCATGTGTTGCAACCTGCAAGCGTGCAAACGGGGCGCTTTGTAAGTCCTGATGTTTGTTCTCACCTAGAGGCTTTTCGGCACATTCGTCGGCTGCTGTGCTTTCAATCATTCAGCTATTCACCATATATGTGCCACATTAATTTGTTCTGACACTACTGTCATAGGATGTTTTCCTGTAAGGTTTGGCTGCTGTCTAGTATTTCTCATTGGTTCACATTCGATTAATTGGCGATGTGCCAGGCTGCTGTGAAACGATGGACCCTGTATTGCAGTAAAAATAATTTGTGATACTAAAAGTGTGCCACTTGGAATCAGTATTCCTGCATTTTCCTGAATATATAGGTCTAATGGGTGCATGATGTTTTGGATCTACTACTTTTAGACAACGTTTGGAGAAAACAATTAAGTCCACCGCATATAATTTGCTAGGTCCAGTGCTTAGGATGGAACACAGGGTGGGTCCAGTCCATCCACCCTGGACCGACTTTGAACTAGTCAGACAAGTAACTGGACGCTAAGCGGCACATAGGCCGTCCACCACGCCTTGAATAATTTAGAGTGGACCACAATTAGAGTCATAGTCTGCTGTTGTCTGATATCACATCATGCATTATAGAAGTTGTTAGACTCAGAATTGCTGGTACCTGCAAAGTAGTTGATGTTATTAATTTTAACTTAAAAGTTTTACAATGTAAATAACTGACTATTCTGATGTGGGCCCAGGACCGGGGTATCATACAAGTCGCGACTAAGCGACAAGTTGTTTAGTCGCCACGTGGATCTCTTCCTCAGATCTATTTTGTTTTCTCTTACCAAGTAGGGGAGGTGTATTGCTTGCACAAAGGCTTATGATGAAATTAACATGCACTCTAGCTAACGGGTGCCACAATTTTTTTGGAAACAATTCTAAACGTACTTCAAAACTTCTATCTATGTATAAAGTTTGAAGAGTTTCACTCTATGGTGAGTGCACAATTCTATGTCATGGACGGGGTGCGTGGAAGTTAGTTAGCTATCCACGTGCCATAACCATGACTTGGTTTCCATATCTTATGAGTTTCAACTGCTGCCTACCCCAACTTGTTTGGACTGAAAGGCTTTGTTGTTGTTGTTGTAAAAATTGCAAGAATTTTCTCATCTTGTTGCTATGAACATAGAATGATTTTGAACCTGAAATTTTGTGTGTAGTTAGTGTAACCCATATATTATACTATCTAGAACTTGTTTTAGATTTATCTGTTACTTTTGCTAGCCTGTGAATGCGGTGATTGCAACAAAGCCTTCAGTGCATTAGGACCCATTAAACAGAGTGTAGAACAATCACTTCTGTTCTGGAAATATATGGCTGTTTGCAGATGAAGTGCATAGTAATGCCGTTTCAACATTTGATCTTTGCCTTTAATTCCTCCAACTAAAAAGATAGCAATGTGGCCTCAGGGGTTTAGTAAATACTATATGTAACCTAACATTGTGCATCAGTGAGCCAACCTGTCCTCCGATTTCATATAGCACTTTGCCCTTAAATGCCCTTTTACTTTTGTATATGCAGTTGCTCGAGTGCCAATGTGTGCTGTGTGTGCCAACTTTCCAATACATTTGTATATTTATGTGATTTCATATTATTTTTTCATTGCATATTCTAACTACTTATGCTGTTTATTTATTAGGTCTGGAATGTTGCCAATGTCGAGCCCTCCAGCAAATCCAGGACAGCTTACCATTTTTTATGGTGGGTCAGTATGTGTGTATGACTCAGTGCCACCAGAGAAGGTAGTATTTATGCTTCTTGCATCTATCATTTTCTTGGTTTAATTGTCGAAACTCTATGCTAACCTGTGACATTGGCATCAATAGGCTCAAGCAATCATGCTCATTGCAGCAGCAGCAGCTGCGGCCTCAAAAAGCAATGGCACCGCTGCTGTTAAGCCTCCAGCGATGTCTGCGACCAATGCTATCCAAGCCATGCTTACGCGGTCGCTCTCACTTCAGAGCACTTCTGTAGCAAATGGACAACCTCAGGCTGTCGCGGATCCTGGCTCGATTTGCAAGCTTCAGGCTGGTAAAGCCACTAGATCTTTATTCTGAAACCTAAAAGTGGGATGTTCATTCTAATCAGTCTTTGTATGATCTTTTAAAAAAAATTGTTACCTGCTTTGCAGATCTTCCCATCGCCAGGAGACACTCCCTTCAGCGCTTCCTGGAGAAGCGCCGTGACAGGTTAGCATGAATGAAGAGTATAAGTAGCAGCCTACGTTCTTCTGGAGCGTATTAAGAGTATTATGACCCCCTTACACTTGTTGTTTTGTGTTTCCACATGCTGTGTATGGTGTACCACAGCATTTAGAAATGCATTTGTATGAGGCCAAGTCTTCAAAACCAAGTCTTGTACTTTTGTGCCCCGTTCATGATCAATCCAAATTATGATAACCGTTCTATTTTCAACCTGAATGTCCTAGGAGAAGAAGTTTGATGTATGCGGAAAAAGTGCTCCACGACTCGTGATAAAAAATCTGCATGATTCTGTTAAAATTACTTGCAAGAGACCAAACATTTTGTGTAGTTTCAGTTGGTAATAACTAATAAACATGTAGTATGATTTGTTTATAGTCAGGTCACATTAGAGCATCATTCCATAACAAGTGATGTAACATATTAGCTGGTAGATTGCGATTATATGATTATTGAATATTGACACGAGTTATGAGAATTTTTTTTAATAGTTCTCCTTAAAGCCCCTTGGTATTAGCGCAATGAACCGAAGCTAGGCTGGGGACATCAGCTTACAAAAGACAAACCACAGAAACAGCTGTGAAACTAAAGAACATTAGGGCCCTAACAAGCTTCCCCATCAAGACTTTCACCACTCTTCAGGAGAAATAGTGAACTGTACTTTTAGTTAGTTTTGGTCACAGCCATTAATTCTCAGGACGACCGATCGCCTTTAAGCTAGCTTTTGTGTGAGGAGTCGAAACGGCTAAAGATAGCATCTCCATCCCTGCTTGCTCTTGTCATATGAAAAAGTAACGCCGTTCTCGATTGCAATGGCCAACCTTTTTTCGTCCTCCTGCATCTGTAGCAATAATCAGTTTCACTTGTCCTTCCCTGTGCTGGCTCAAACTGACTATGGAATGATCCAATGATGCAGGGTGGTGAGCAAAGCTCCTTACGGCGCCGGGAAACCGTCCGAAGGCATGGGAGCATCTTCTGGGATGGAAGCGGTTGCGGAGGGCAAGGCCCAGTAACCCTGAAAGAAGAAAGACGGCCCTGCCCCTGATGTTTGGAAGGAAAGGGGCGTGTGTTAGCTGATGTAATGTTACACCGTAGAATCATCGTTCGTGACGATAATAATGATCCGACCAGAACTCCTCTAGTATCATTGTTCTGTTGTCATTGTGTAGTTTACTCTGTATCTGAACTTTGTTTTACTCAGCGAAACCGTACTGCTATGATGAATGTGTCGATGTAAATCGTGGCTGTCGTGCCTGTCTGACTGATACATTGTTCATGTAGTCGATGAATGATAGCACCTGTGTCGTCTCAGTTTCAGATACTCCAGTTGGTTTGAAAATGTTGTGTTTGTGTTTGGTCTGTTGAGGATGTTGGTTGGGTTTCAGTGCCACCTGAAGACCGCCTGTCATTTTGGTTCCGCCTCGGCTGGATGCGTTGAGGTAGCAGCAAAAAACAGAAGCCTGAAGCTTTGCATGTGCGTGTGTTTCCACATATCCTTGCTGTCCACAGGACATTCCTATTTCAGAGAGATCAGGGGAAGGTTCAGGATGGGCATAATTAATCATTCAAATAGATATGCTTTGCCACTTTCAAGCCTCAAAATACCAATGGACTAACACAGAACAACAATAGTCAATGTAGTTTCCTTGCACCCAGAAAGCTAAATAATGAATTTGGTAAACAACGATAGTCAATGTAGTTCACATTTTGCAGGCAATTTATTACCCCACTTCAGATGTCCTTTCGGCTGTGCTAGGTCCTAATCCATCCAGGGTATGGCGCTCTCTGTGTGAGGGCAGGGACATACTAAGAGTTGGCCTGGTTAAGCGCATTGGGGATGGGACAGCTACACATGCTTGGTCAGATAATTGGTTACCGAGGGATTTCAGGATGCGTCCAACATGTGTGATCACTACAAAGTACAAATCCACCACAGATGGTGTCTGACTTCATACATGCAACAACGAGAGATTTTTTTTTTTTTGAAACGGAGGCAAAAGCTTTGCCTCATCCATTAAATAAGAGAGAATAGAGTTAGTTACAAACAACCCAAGTATACGGCATGCGGATTACTCGCGCAATAACAAAGACCCTAGTTTTTTAGCACCGGCGATGATCCAAAGGTAGCCTCGGTGGCGATGGAGGAAAGCAGCACTGTCGGAGGGGCACACTTATGCCTGAAAACTCGCGCGTTTCGTTCATTCTAAATTGTCCATGAAACAAGCATGGTGAGGGATGCCTTGGCTTGTCTGTGCGGATAGCCGTCGTCGCAAGTACTTGCCCACCAAGATTGGACCGAGTCGAATAGGGGCCAGGTGGAAATGACGAAGTCGGGGACGTGGTACTTGTCAATGACCAAGGACCAAAGCCTTCTAGAGAAGCGGCATTTGAAGAATAGGTGACTCCCACTCTCTTGTTCCCTCTTGCAAAGGGGGCAAAGATCACAGTTCGGCCACCCACGCTTTGCCAATCTATCCGCGGTCCAAATCCTGTCTTGGAGAGCCAACCAAGCAAAGAACTTGACTTTTGGGGGAGCCCAAACTTTCCAAACCATCTTGTCCATGGGGGAGAGAACCAATCCTAAAAATTGTGCCTTATATGCGGAGGCCGCCGAGTAATGCCCCGAGACCGAGTGCTTCCAAAGGATGTCATCCTCGGAGAGTTCGTCAAGATGGACCTCATGAAGGAGCATCCAAAGCGTGAAGAATTGTGTGACATGCTCGGCGGAGATAGAGGTGGGTGGATTGATCTTGAGGATCCATGCGTTGTGCTTGAGGGCCTCCCGCACCTTCCAATTCTTACGCATGGAAGCTTCATGGATGAGCGGGGCAATATCCTTAGGCTTGCGCCCAAGGAGCCAAGGGGAGTCCCAAAAGGGGGTCTTCGCGCCGTTACCAATGGAGATGGTGGTGGAAGCATAGAAAAAGTTAAGGTCCTCCTCGTCACAAGGGTTTCCCAATCCGACCCACATCTTGGTAGGATCCTTCCATTCGTACCAAGGCCACCGCAGCCGGAGGGCGCGTGTAAACTTGTTGGTGTTGAGGACCCCAAGTCCCCCATATTCGAGTGGCCGACAAACAATCTCCCAGTTTACTTTGCATTTCGCCCCTGTCGTTTTGTCTGTTCCAGACCATAGGAAGGCTCTCTCAAGTTTGTTGACGGTGTGTAGGATGGAGGGCGGTATGACCAACGGAGTGGCGGGGTAGACTAGTTGGGAGGTGATCACAGACTTGACAAGAGTCGTACGCCCGATGGTGGTGATGTTCTGACCCTCGTATGTTGTTAGCTTGCTCGCCACCTTGTCCACGAGGAATTGCAGGTCCACCAACTTCAGCTGCCATACGGAGAGGGGGAGTCCTAGGTACCGCAGAGGGAAAGAAGCTCTTGCTGCTGGCAGGCTTTGGGTCAAACAACCCAGATCGAGGTGGTTGCAATGGATGGGCACCATTGAGCTCTTGAGGAAGTTGGTGCAGAGGCCCGTGACCTCACCAAAGCCTCTCAAGATGCATGCAAGATTTTCCACATCTCTTTTGATCGGGGCCAAGAAAACCACCGCGTCATCCGCATAAAGAGAAGTCCTCAGCATTGCCCCCCTTCCCCTGAGCTTGTGCAGGAACCCCTTCCTCGTGGCCACATCTAGGATTCTTTGGAGCGGGTCAATGGCGATGACGAATAGGAGTGGGGAGATGGGGTCACCCTGCCGGAGGCCTTTGCCATGCTTAATTGGACCACCGGCAATACCATTGAGGATAATCCTCGAAGATGAAGAGCAAAGGAGGGCAGCGATCCAATCCCTGAATTTGGGAGGGAACCCTCGCCGTTGGAGAAGATCAAGCAAATACTCCCACTTGACGGTGCCGAAGGCCTTGCGAATATCAAGCTTGAAAAGAAGGGACGGGGTCTTGCTCTTGTGCAAGCGCCGAGCGCGATTGCGAACATACAAGAAGTTGTCATGGATGCTTCTTGTTTTAATGAAGGCGCTTTGGGCGTTGGAGACGAGGCTTGTCATGTGGGGGCCCAGCCGAGTGGAGAGCACCTTCGCAATAATTTTTGCGACCGCGTGGATGAGGCTAATGGGCCTATAGTCGGCGATCCCCTCCGCCCCTTCCTTTTTAGGCAGGAGCACCACATTCGCGGAGTTGAGCCACTGTAGATTCGCGGTGTGAAGGGAGTCAAAATGATTCATGACCCGCATGAGGTCCGGCTTAACGATATCCCAACACTTCTTGAAAAAGAGGCCCGTGAAGCCATCTGGACCCGGAGCCTTGTCACTGGGTAGGTCATTGATTGCTTCGAGGACCTCACTCTCGACTATCGCGGAGTCAAGGTTGTGCAAATCAAGAGGTTCCAGGTTTAGCTCGTCCCAGTTGAAATCTTTGCGGCTCAGGGGGCCTCTCTTTAGGACATTGGAGAAGTGGTCTTGGATTAGTTTCTCTTTGGCACCGTGCTCGGTGACCCAACCATGATCATTCTTGATCCTGTGAATATGGTTTTTTCTCCTCCTAGCGGTGACTCGGCGATGGAAGAATTTTGTATTGGCGTCCCCTTCTTTAAGATTTGAAATTCTTGCACATTGTTTCTTGCGCGATCTTTCTAGCACAGCCAAGGCGATGACCCTTCTCTTAAGCCTGGCCCGAAGGTCGAGCTCCTCGGTGGAGAGGAGCCTGTCCTCTTGGGCGATGTCGAGGCGAAGGATCACCAGAAGAGCGGCATGGTGGTGAATTTTTGCCTTTGAGAAAAGTCTCCTACTCCATTCTGCGAGGCGGAGAGCCGTCTTCTTGAGCTTGTAGTATAGGATTTGATATGGCTCAGTGTGATCCACCCTCTCGTTCCACGCCCTTTGGACCAACTCATGGAACCCGGGTATGGATGCCCAGAAGTTTTCGAATTTAAAGACCCGAGGCTTCCTTGGTCCCTTATCATCGGCAAGTAGTAGCGGACAATGGTCGGAGAGGGAAGAGGAGAGAGCATGAAGGACGTGGGTGTTGAAGGATGCGTCCCACTCGGCGTTGCAAAAGAACGAGTCTAACTTGCACAAAGTTGGGTTTTCCCTCTCATTGCTCCAAGTGAAACGCCGATTTTGGAGGTGTATTTCTTTGAGCTCACAGCTTTGTAGCGTTGCTCTAAAACGGTTGATCCTGCTTCGGTTGACATTTCTTTTGTTTTTGTCTCTGGCCCGGTAGATTTGGTTGAAATCACCAGTGGCGAGCCATGCCACCCCAGTCGTAGGCTTCTGGCTGAGTAGCTCGGCGAAGAAAGCGTCTTTACAGGAGGGGTCTGTGGGGCCGTAGACGGATGTGATCTTGAAGCGTAAACCGGTCCCTCGCACACTGATCATGGCGGAAAGACAGTATGATGTGTACGTGATGCAGGAAACCTCAACAAGACGATCATCCCAGAGCAGCAAGATTCCTCCCCTAGTGCCGTTTGCCGGTCTTTGCGCAAAACTACGTAGCCTCTGGCCACCCAGAGAAGCTGCGGTGAATCGGTCGATGTTGCCGAGTTTTGTCTCTTGTAGGCACACCACATGGCACGACGAGGAGGCGATCGTGGCGTTCACCGTAGAGCGTCGATCCGGGCAGTTCAAGCCCCTAACGTTCCAGCTCAGAAAGTTGATGGGTTGTTCAAACATTATGGAAACTGACGCACCCTGGAGCTTTGAGGAACAGCAGAAATAAAAGTGCATGGAGCCACTTGATGTTCAGATACATCCAACCAACTTGCAGAAGCAAAGAGGCAGAGCAAATACATGGCCTGAGGCCGATGGAAAGCATGCTCGAAACACACGGAGCAGCCTTAAGCATGAACATAATCCAAGCACCTAAAAGTTCAGTAGGTTGTGCTGACATAATTAAAAGTGAGGACCCCAGGTGGGCAGAGACGGCCGGTGCTCAGGTGGCCGCCTGCAGAGTCGCAGCGCCGCCGTCGTTCGAATCCAGGTCGAGGGAGCCGACCCCTCCATGCGCAATGAGAGCTTCCTCGACTCCTATCGCATTGCCATCATCTAGCTTGAATAGCCCACGCATCGCAACAATCACTTCAGGCGACAGTTGCTCTTTGAAGCGCTCCGCGAAGGCCTCCAGCGCGGCTGCCGTGATGTCTTCTCCGTCCTTGACAATGCCAAGGCTCCGGCAGACGAGAATCTCCGCAGCCCTTGCAACTGGAGCTGCCTTGGGGCGTGCTGCAGAACGCGACTTGGCGATGGAGAAGCCGCCACCGGTCTTGGAGATAGTGATCCCGGCCATCGTCTTCCGGCGAGCAGTTGGTGCCCGAGCAGGGGTTGTAGCAGGGGAGTCCAGGATGGCCTCTTGGCGTTCGGCAAAAAGAGGTGCGAGGCACTGCAGGCTCACAGCACCACCAGCACCAACGGCGCCCCTACGCAGCCTCACTGGCTCAGGCGTGCGCTGCAGCGGCCCTGTAGAGAGTAGGGGAGGCGTCGGTGAAGCTTCGAAGCCCGGCGGCTTCGTGGGCGATGGCAGCGGCGCTTGGAGTGTGTCCGGCGAGCAGAGACGAAGCAGAGTCTGGCTCGGTGGTGCCTGCGAGAGTGGTGACGGCCGGTCGTCGCTTCGCCTGGAGCGCGGCACTGGTGGGAGCACAGTTGTTGGTGACAGAGGCGGGGACGCTGGCGGCGTGAGGGCATCCTGGGAGCGACGGCGGGCGGAGCGTGGCGAGAGCTGACGTGCCGGGCTGCGGCCACGCCCGGCGGCCAGAGGCGGGGCTTGCACAGGCAGAGACTCGCGGGCTCGGACTGCATCCACGCTGGCAGAGCCGGAGCCCAAAAGAACCCCGTCTGGCACGGAAGGCTCGGCGGAGCGACGACGGCCTCCCCCATCGCGGCGGCCGTCACGGCCGTCCTCACGACGGTTGTCGCGCGACGCATCTCTTGGATGGCGGGAGAGGCTGCGCCGGATGCGGTCGCCCCAGCCCTCCCTGCTCCGCGAGTTGTCACGGCCACGGCGCTCCCTGTCATCCCGCCCATGACCCGGGTCGTCGTCGTGGTCTCTTCGATGGCGCTCGACAGGGCGAGAGATGCGCTCGCGGGGATCGCGTGCCTGCCGCTCACCGTCGATGACCCCCTTCTGGTAGGTGTACCCCTTTGACACTATCCTTGGGCCCTGAGTGGGATCTTCATGAATGGAAAGGTGGATGATCACCCTTCGCTCCAGACCGCGACGACCGACGATCGGCTGACCTCCCGCGCGCGCCGGCAGGGTCACCCAGTTCACCCGCGGCACATTTGCAGGCGACGCCGTCCACGCCCACACCCCCAGGACCTCAGTATTCGTCTTGAGCTTGGACGCCGTCTCGATGTAGTCGATGGAGCAGCCCGGACCGATGGCCTGCGCGACGGCGAAATCATCCCACGCTTGGAGAGGCAGCCCGTCCAGGCAGAGACGGACGTGGTGGACGAGGTCCACGTGTTCCGAGTGCGCCTCGAGGCGCCAAGGACGCATCTGCAGCCTGGTGTCCCTGAACTTCAGGTCTCTACGCCCGGCCGCGTCCGCACAGTGGTGCTGATGGAAGAAACGGACGAGGAAGGCCTCAGGGAAGTGCTTGACGACGCAGACGTCCTCCGCCAGCATGCCCAGCTCGAGGACGATGGCATCGGCGATTTCTTGCGTGGTGGCCTTGAGGTCGCGGTCGAGCCAGGCGACCACGGCGTTGGAGCCGAGGAGCGCCGCCTCCTGGTGCATGGCCGGCGTCGCGTGGATCACCGTGAAGACCTCAGCCGGCCGCAATGAGTGGTCGCCATTCCAAGCCATGGCGCGGGGTGGACCTTGCGGACGACGGAGAGCAGCCGGTGGTGGAGGTGACGAGGGGCCTGCAGCCACAGAAGGCGTCGTGCGCACTTGGGGAGGACGGTTGGGACGCACGCCGGAGGCGCCTGGACGGAGGTGAGGAGCAGGCTTGTTGTAGCAGCGCCGCGCACGGTGGCCGGATTGGAAGCAGCGGCGGCAAGTGATGGGGTTGCAGCACGCAGTCTGTCGGTGGTGAGGGGAGAGGCAGCGGAAATGGAATATTGAAGACTTGCCCGGGCATCTTTGCCCACCAGTGAGGAGCGGAACCGCTGGAAGATGGCGGACTCAGCAGCGCGTCCGATATGTAATGCAACTGTTGATTCGTGGAAGCACGCCCTGCTGGACTGTAATTTGGCAAAGAGCGTCTGGTGCCTCCGAGAAGATGATTTGGCCATCCCTCTTTTTGGTGATGAAACGCCAGTTGCAAAATTATGTCTGTTTGGTCTGAGCAGGACACTCGACGGTGCTAAGTTTGTGGAGGTTCTTGTGACTCTCTGGGCGATATGGTGAGCCATTCATGAAGGTGAATTTCAGAGCCCTTTGTCTACACACTTGTTTATCCGGCGCTATCTTGACAAGATCAAGACCTGCACGCAATCCCGAGGAACGCTCCTACCAAAGCCAATACGAAGCAAACAAAATAGATCAGGCCGGTTCCAGGAACGGTTAAGCTCAACGCAGACGGAGCACTGGCGAAGAATATGAACAAGTGAAAGCTACTTGGATCCGATTAAGCATGTGCTGACGTAGCTACTTTTACACTTCATCAACTAATCATAGAGCAAAGAGGGGGGAAATGCAACACGGTCACAGAAACTTCTGCTACAAAGTCGCCATTCACATACGGTCTTTCCCAAAATTATTGATTTCCACCATCAGCCCATACACACTTCACTAGAACAACAACTTGAGTTCAACGACAATGTAACACGAAAGTCAGTCAGTCACCAAAGGTCCGAAAACACGCAAGATATGCCAGACAACTGCTTCGAAACGCAGAAAATAAAAAAGAACTCACAAGTCTAACTCCCGAAGTGCATATGGTAACTACACTGACTGCATCTCACGCATGCGAGCTACGCATAATCCCATGGGCGTAGCCGCCAACCATGACCAAGGAAAGAAGGGACACAACGCCAGCTGGGAATATCTTTCCGGACTTCTTGAAGCGAGATCCCATGACTGACAGCAGTGCAGCTGATATACCTATGATGCAAAGCCAAGAAACATCAGGGCATCAGCCGGCAGGGGAAGAGTGTCGATGCAATTCCATAGCAAAGGATGACAAGGACCACACAAAACATGGCTGATGAAGGAATACCACATACCTAACCCGATCGCCGACGCAAAGACTGGTCTCACTGGGAGTTGAGTGTGAACGAAGAACAGCACCAGGGCTGATATGCCTCCTGCAGCCAATGACTTCTGGCTTCCACTCTTCATGTACCCCATCACTCCACCAGCTACAGAAGTTAGTAGCACAACGATCAGTTGTTGTAAAATGTTGCAACTTCCCAAGAAAACAGTCAGAATTTTGAGTGTACTTTCAGGTATAAATAACGCAGCAAAAGGTTGTAGAAACTGATAGTTTTATAAGATGGTTGATGGAGCTAATATAATGTCAGGAGTGTTTAGCCCTATGCTAGTTCAACAGACATAACAACTGAGAGTAGGACTCTAATTAAGTACCAAAGGTATCAGATGCCAAGAAGGCAAGAACACTACAACTCTGTTATGAAATAAAAATACCCGTGTGTTGTGTAAAGCCAACTCTGGGTGTTCATGATATCCTAGTACTTCCTAGGAGAGATATCTTACACCGTGCTTGTTCGTAAGCATCTAATTAAGGGAATAAGCACTTAGAATTATGTACAAGACGAAAATTCTGAGACACACAGAAAGGCATATATTTGTATACATGCGAATTGCTAAGCACATCCCAGTTCTATTTTTCGCTCTGATAAAAGAAGTTGAGTAACCAAGAGAGTGTTGATGAGCCTGCCTACTTCCTAGTTTATGCAATTGCTAAGATAACGAATAACACCGTAAAGGGAGAGTCAAGTGTTCAAACAATTGTGGCAAAGTACAGCCCAAACTGCCATTTATCTGGATCTGGATAAAGCCAAGCACTTGTTTCCAATCTGGATCTGGATGCTCATGACTGCCTACACTGTGCTTTGTTTGTAAGCCTTTATTTGAGGGCACTTAACAGTCCATAATATTATAATAAAGCCAGACGAGCATCCTATGACACATAGAAAGGATCCCAATTTCCATCTTCGTAAATTTGCTGATCACATCCAAGTTATATTGTTGCTATGATAAAAGGAGGAACAGAGTAATCAAGCTAGTGTTGAAGAGCCTGCCTACTGGTTTCTACAATTGGCATGTCAGTTTTAATCACTGTTTCATCAAATAAGTTCATTACCTTGATTGCTATTACTATTTTCGATAAGAGGGGTCTGTCGGGCCCCATTTTCACTAAGAAAGTGGAGTCTTACACAATACTGGGAGCATATCATCACTTGCACCCCTGATATACAACCATATCATGGGATGCCTCAGCCAAAAGCAACTACTAAAGACTACTACATTACCTTGATTATCAAGTTGTACTCCATAAAAGGTGTAATCTTGCCTAAAATGCAGACAAAAAATATGAGTGCTTTAATAAACTGGGGATAATCCACTAGTTATCAGCTAAAAATGCCAGGATGGCACGGTCCATTCTGCCATTTGACCTTCTACTCTTGAATCAGACTTCAGTATCAGCAGGGTCACACGGATAATAATGGTTATATACTGATAAAGAACAGTCGAGATTCGCATATAAATACTATACTTTACCCAAACACAACGCATCTGCACTTATCGCTACGAAAAAATGGAGGTGGCGCTACCTCCGACGAGCGCGGCGTAGGCGAGGGTGAGCTTCTGCGACATGGAGAGCCCGTCCCCCATCTTCCCCTCCTCCCCCTCGTCCCCGCCTCCCTGCGGGTCACTTCCCCCGCCGCCTCCCCTCCCAGATCCCGCACCGTCACCGCCTTCGGATCCGCCGCCGCCGAGCTCGGGCTCCTTGGACGCGACCGCCGCGAGGAGGCGTGCGCCGGGGGAGGCGGAGCGGAGCGAGAGGAGGGCGGGGGCGGGGGCGCGCAGGAAGAGGAGGGAGCTCTGGGAGGCGGAGATCGGGGCCGGGGAGAGCGCGAGGGGCGCGAGGAGTGGGGTCGTGGCGAGGAGGGCCATGGCTCCGGGTGCTCGAGCTGGGGTTTTGTGGGGGTCAACCTGGTGGGTGGGCTGCCGGCGATGGTGAACTCGGTGATGTGATGGACCGATTGGGCGATTTTCCGGGTGGGTGGCGTGTCAATGTGGGTGGGGTCTTGGCACTTAGGGGTTGTTTGGGTTGTGACGACTATCTTTGCCATACATTGCCACATGATTTTTGTTATATTTGTCATATTTGCCATACTTGAGTTGCTTAAATTGTTAGAGCATCTCCAGTTGTTCACTCCCTCAGGGCTCGAAATATCGTCGTATGAGGTGAACCGGTGCTAAAATCGGCGTGGGGACGATCGGCTTCCCAGCCACCGCCCCCAGGCGCCGCTTTCGGCCCACTTTTGGCACAAATTTGCCAACTTTTCAGCCCAATTTCAGCGGAAATTGGCCCGCTGTCGGCGAATTGGCCCATATTCGCCGTGCCTCGGCGCAAATTCAACATAAACTATTTTTATCACATAGTTCATGACAGAAAATCAATAGAAATCAAATAGTTCAATACAAATTATATAGTTCAACAAATAAAAACTCATATTTGTTCACACGCCGAGCTAGTCCTTGCCCTTGAGCCTCCATAGGTGCTCCACCAGATCTTGTTGCAGTTGTTGATGGACCAATGGGTCTCAGATCTCCTGACGCATATTGAGGTAGTCAGTCCAGGTTGCCGCTAGCTAGTGATCAACTTGGGCAAGAGGACCCTGCCTGTAATATGGTTCTGTGTTAAACACTGGTTCTTCCTGCTCGCTCTCAATGATCATGTTGTGCAAGATGTCACGGCAAGTCATGATCTCTCACATTTGATCTTTCAACCAGGTCTGGGCGGGGTACCGAACAACAACAAATTGAGATTCAGCACACCAAATGCTCGCTCGACATCCTTCCTGCAAAGCCTCCTGAACCTTCGCAAAGTGGGAGTTCTTGCCTCCTGGCACAATGTTTGAGATAGTTTTCACAAATATGGACCAATTTCGAATAGATGTCATCTGCTAGGTTGTATCCCTTGTTGTAGTGCCGCCCATTGAACTCGAAGTTCACTGGAGGAGAATGACCTTCAACAAGCTTGGCAAAGATAAGGGAGCACTGCAGTACGTTGATGTCATCATGAGTTCCTGGCATATCAAAGAAGGAGTGTCAAATCCAAAGGTCCTGTGTGACCACTGCCTCAAGTACCACACTGCAACCGCCTTTGACGCCTTTGTACATCCCCTGCCAAGCAAATGGACAGTTTTCCCATTCCCAAGCATGCAGTCAATGCTTCCAAGCATCCCAGGAAATCCTCTTACTGCATTTTTGTGCTAGGACCCGAGCAGTGTAAATAGCTCTGTTGATTTCAATTGCAATTGTGTATACAGTTGACTTATCATATCATGCACATTACTAGCATCACAACATAGTCAATATTGTTGTTGTACATGTAGACCCGTGGTACCCATCTGAAATCTTGTTGTGTCGTATAGTTTCCCACGCTTTGTATTCTTTCAGTGTTGCTTTGTCTTGAACTGATATGATTTGAACCGTGTCTCTATTTTGATTTGGCAAGACAATGCAGTGACCATAGGACATAGATATATGTTTGTTTGATGCTTTTATTATGTACTACTTGGCAATATAAGACCTGATAGTTTAATCCTGTCCACCTTACTAATGAACTGGTTCACCGAAATGAGTTTCATATACTAGTACATGCTAAA